ATGCCGGGAAGCGCTGCAATCTGGTAGCCATTGTGTTGGACACATGTTGAAATTGACTGGAAACCGGAAAAAAGTGCATGTAGTGTTAGACCCCTGATACTGGAATGCTACTTTCCCCGTTGAATCGGTTAGCAGAACGGAAGGGGAAGCCCAGATTCAGTTCCAAACGTTGGATTGAAATTAGCTTGCTGGAATTTTTTGCAGGAATGGCTACGCAGTCGTGGCATCACCGTTGTTGAGTCCACAGATTTGTTCACATATCGTCTCATTGACAGTGATGATGATCAAAGTGCCGTACTGCTTTATGCACCCCATTGCGGTCTTGCCATGTACAACAGCTTAATCTATGCCCATCGAAAGGAGCTGAAACGAGTTGTCATCATCGGTAAGTAGGCATTTTTTAAACGTGAAACTGTTTACGCTTCGGCTAAGATGTGCTTGGAAGATGTAGTTTTAAGTAATGTTTTCTCTATGTTTTTCGCTACTCTAATTAAAAATTTATCGTAATTTTTGTGAGTTATCGGATTTTTTTATCAGAAATTCAAAATTTTTAGAAAAAATCGAAAATCCAAAAATTTAAAAAAAATCCAAAAATTTTGGAAAAAATCCACTCTAAAAATTTTTATGATTAGTAAACTGCTATTACAGATAGGTTCCGCATACTTTGAAGCTAAATTAACATTTGTACTCCTTTCTGTGTTTTTTTTTTTTCGCTTCTGAGAGTTTAAATATGGGAGAAAAAGATACTCAGTTGATACTGGATACGGCGTTTCCGACACCGACGTGCAGTTGATCTTTTTCAGTGACTGAATCGACAACCAAGCCACTGAGTTCGATCCTGAGCTCGCCTCATCCACAATACCCCATATAATCATGAAGTTAGCAGATCTGACCAGCGCATCGGTGGCCTTCCTACTAGTCTTTTTACATGTGTCCTTTGTACATGGCCTTTTTATATGTGTCCTCTTTAATGGCCTATTTAATTTGTCATTAAAGATAATGCTGTTTAGGTTTACTTTCGAGAAGTAAATTTACATGACACTTTGAAACCACTGAGTTTTTAAGATGTTGGTGTGCTGCGCGGAAAATTTACTTTAAATTCGCT